AGATCTTCTGTCCATCATCGTATAAAGCCCGCCCTGGCAATTTGATTGGCCCGACGATTTCTGAACCGATCATAATTACTCCTCAATGGATCGAGTCCAGACCGAACTTCCCGACCAAATAATGTTGTGGGCTGGGTTCGGGCTGGCATCCAGGCTAGCATACTTGCTGAATTTAAAAGTATTAATTTCTTTAAAAAAAAATTACTGACCCCAAACTTTTGAACAGTAGTGTATACAGTACATCCCCACTTTATGTCAGAGCTCATAAGTCTGTCATGAAAGGCTAAAAATCAATGTCACCATGTAAAATATTAATGTGCTTTTGACTTTGGGAACCCAAATGTTCCCACAGAGGTTATCCAGTTATAACAGACATCATTTACATACAGAAGTCTTAGGGCTAGATTTACTAACAGCTTGCACCAACAAACCCTCTTTTGGTGTTCAAAACTACTGTCAGGATTTACTTAAGACACGCAGTGAAAAATAAGCGCTGAAAAGGCGTGGACAGGGATATTTTTGCGGCTGAACTTATTGCATATGCAATTGTAGGTGTTTCCCTTTCAGACGGAAAATTTATGGGAGGAGAGTATTTAATTGACTCATTCAAACTGATCTACTAAGGTTTGCACTCGTCAATTTATTGCTATTTGAACCATTATTTACCGCCCCAAAAAAAGCATGTCTTAAACCAGACGCTAATTTGCGCTGCTCTTGGTAGATTGCGTTGGTCATTATGGAAATGATCCGGCTGTGTCTGTGTTCTTTAATGTGCACGTCATCAGTAGATCAAGCGCAGTACTTTCCACTCCCATCTGTGCTTTTATGGGATTGTGCTAATTTACCCTGTTTAGAAAATCTGGCCCTTAACGTTACAGTAGCAAAAACAGACTTTTTTTTTTCTATTTTGGTTTAGCGAGAGAAACAATCATTAAACACTGCATTATGGCTGTTTTTAGTTCTACAAAGCTTGACTAATATAAAAATATACAAAAGAATGCCCCTAACATATTGTACCTGCATTCCATTATATTGCTGTAATAGCCATTAATAAGGAGAACATCAACATATACAGTACAGTAGTTAAGTCCTTTGTTTTTACAATAATACCGTGTGAGCGAGGCACATCCAATGTGGCAGTTTTCCAATAATATCAACATTCAATCATGTTTATTTGACTTTTGTTTTGTGTGCAATGTAGAAACAACAGCCTGAAAAGACACATATGCCGATTCCAAAAAAAGAGACCAATACCACACAGCTCTCTCCTGAGATGAGTTTACAACAACACAAATTGACTGTGAATTTTCACACTTCTACCCTCATTTCTTTTAACCTCAAGTTACTAATTATGAATATTTAGGATGCATTACAACACTGGGGGCATTTGGAAATTGCTTTATGAACATATCTGAACTCATTGCCCATACAGTAAAGGAAACCATCTGTGAAGCTCATTTGATGGAGCTCCAGAGGCCTGAAAACATTTCCATTAGCACGTTCTCTGAAGCGTTTGTGTTTGCTGTGCTACCACCACTGCATATGTTGACATCTTTATTATATCATTTGATTAAATGTCTCTAAAGGGGCAGACACCAAAAACATCTTCCTGTAATTATCCAGAGGATTGTCTCCTTGTGGCTAGTGGGGTCTGTTTGAGATTTGTGCCGTATGGGAAAAGCTCCTGATAGAATGGTTTTTGTTTGCATGGCAGGAAGACACAGCAGATGTGTGCTAGTGGGACACACAAGTCTCAGTCCTACATGTGTCAGCGCCTGATTCTAATTGTACTGTTGGACTGGGACCAAACTAGGCTCACCATGATAAGCGATAAATCACATTTCTTCCATGTTAGTCTGAGTTTTTGTTCTAACAAGCCATGACTGTCAACAGTGCTCGGCATTAAAACATTGTGACAGTCGATTTTTACAGTCTCAGAATAGTACAGCATAGCCACTGGCCATTTAGAGCTTGCACACACAATGGCAAGAGCAACTGCAACTTCTGGATGCTTTATTTTATCAGGCCACATGGAAAGAAAGTCATGTTAGTACAATGAGTAGATTTTCCAAGGTTTGCAAGGTTCGTGAATCTTAGAAAGAGGTTTTTGTTTGAGATAATTAACCTTATAATAATAACCCCTACTTATAAATCAAATTTTTAAGGCCAACATGATGAAAACTTTGCTGAAAAACCTGTTGTACACAATCAACCACATGCCTTCTACACAGTTACCTTGAGGATTATTAGGAACACCATACTAATACTGTGTTTGACCCCCTTTCGCCTTCAGAACTGCCTTAATTCTACGTGGCATTGATTCAACAAGGTGCTGAAAGCCTTCTTTAGAAATGTTGGCCCATATTGATAGGATAGCATCTTGTAGTTGATGGAGATTTGTGGGATGCACATCCAGGGCACGAAGCTCCCGTTCCACCACATCCCAAAGATGCTCTATTGGGTTGAGATCTGGTGACTGTGGGGGCCATTTTAGTACAGTGAACTCATTGTCATGTTCAAGAAACAAATTTGAAATGATTCGAGCTTTGTGACATGGTGCATTATCCTGCTGGAAGTAGCCATCAGTGGATGGGTACATGGTGGCCATAAAGGGATGGATATGGTCAGAAACAATGCTCAGGTAGGCCGTGGCATTTAAACGATGCCCAATTGCCACTAAGGGGCCTAAAGTGTGCCAAGAAAACATCCCCCACACCATTACACCACCACCACCAGCCTGCACGGTGGTAACAAGGCATGATGGATCCATGTTCTCATTCTGTTTACGTCAAATTCTGACTCTACCATCTGAATGTCTCAACAGAAATCGAGACTCATCAGACCAGGCAACATTTTTCCAGTCTTCAACTGTCCAATTTTGGTGAGCTCTTGCAAATTGTAGCCTCTTTTTCCTATTTGTAGTGGAGATGAGTGGTACCTGGTGGGGTCTTCTGCTGTTGTAGCCCGTCCGCCTCAAGGTTGTGCGTGTTGTGGCTTCACAAATGCTTTGCTGCATACCTCGGTTGTAACGAGTGGTTATTTCAGTCAAAGTTGCTCTTCTATCAGCTTGAATAAGTCGGCCCATTCTCCTCTGACCTCTAGCATCAACAAGGCATTTTGTTGACAGGACTGCTGCATACTGGATGTTTTTCCCATTTCACACCATTCTTTGTAAACCCTAGAAATGGTTGTGCGTGAAAATCCCAGTAACTGAGCAGATGGTGAAATACTCAGACCGGCCCGTCTGGCACCAACAACCATGCCACGCTCAAAATTGCTTAAATCACCTTTCTTTCCCATTCTGACATTCAGTTTGGAGTTCAGAAGATTGTCTTGACCAGGACCACACCCCTAAATGCATTGAAGCAACTGCCATGTGATTGGTTGATTAGATAATTGCATTAATAAGAAAATGAACAGGTTTTCCTAATAATCCTTTAGGTGAGTGTATATTTCACGATGAACACTGACTGGACTGAAGCAATGTAGTTTTACTTATCAATACATCTTCGTTTTTTTCTTTCTTTTTTAAAATAATATAAAAATGTGACTATCAAATATGATAATGTTAAAAGGTCAAGGGTCAAGAGCCCAACTAAAGCAAGCACTGATCACCATAATGGTGACTTCAAACTTTGAACATCTAAACCTCTGTTAATTTAATGCCATTCATTGAGAACTCCCCACTTCTACAGAGGTATGTTGTCGAGAACAACAGTAATGCAGCGTGATTTGTTAAGCCAGCAAACTCATATGCATGCTGACAGGGGCGTAGGGATCATTTCAAATGTCAAGTGTAATATCAAGTGTAATTTTTTCTGACATTTGTCTAGTTGATAGGGTTTATTTTTTACATTTTTTTTAAAATCTTTTGCTTTTACTTAGCTAATTTGCTCAAATAAAACAAACCACAAATTTGTATTCTATAATATTTTTTTCTTTATTTTCCTTATGACAACTTTATGATTGGTTTATTTACTACAAACCCTTGTGCATTAAGTCATCGTGGATTTTTTTTTACCACAGAATAAAGCAAAAACATTTTTTTTATCGTAATCGTGTGTTTATTGTCTTCACGTTTCATCAGTCAAAATGGTTCAGCTTTAGCTGGATGCCTTTGTCCATATAAGGGGTTTCCTGGAAAGTCACAAGTGTAATGACTTCTATGATTCTCACCTGTGGACTTTCTGCGCGAGGGCGCCCTCCGGCTTCCAGTATGAATAAAACACACTCCCTAATGTTCACATCGCCTCGTTTTGGATAAGAATAAAACACCAGATCATACATAGACTGTCTTGTCTCTTTGAATTTAAATCTAGTTTTATTAACATTGGCCGATGAAAACAGCTACGTGAACACACTACCCGAGAAAAGTGCGGGGCACAAATTTACGTTTCTTAAAGTGCGAGGGACATATTATACGCCCATGTCATACTGCATGTCAGTTTTGACCACAAAAGATGAGGTAATTTGATTGGATGTCATTTTATGGCACTACCATTTTACTGTTTTTAAACTAGAGGTGGCATTTTGCCTGTTAGAAATACACAATCCCTTTTAATGTTATTTTAAGGTGGGTAGAAGTAAACGAACGGCAAAACTCCGCATTTTGTCCGTGTACCCCCTTTTACCTCACACACCCCAGTTTGAACCACTGGACTAGAATAAGCTGAAGTCATCCAGTCTTCATACTGAAATGAAAAATTCTGCCGGTGCAAGGGTATTATTAATGTTGCATCACACCGGAACGTGAAAACCCCCAATTAAGCCTGAAAAATGACTGTAAATGTTAATGAAGCCCCTTTTTAAACTGTTTATTGGATGTGCTACTATGCACTAAGACCTGATATTGCACATATTGTCTGAGAAACTTTTTAATTGGCTGTTTTTGATGGATATAACTGAATGATTCGATCTGAAAACAAGTGGCTTAAATAAGATTGATGTGGATTAGTCCGACGGTTTTGTATTAATCTGACTGGATGCAGCCGTTGTCTCACCTGTGCCACCTCCTCAAAGTCATCATGGCGTTTCTGGAGGGCTCTGGCTCTGTGCAGGGATTTGCCCACACCTGTGTGTTTACTGAGGAAAGCCTCTCCATGGTTCTCTATCCAGTCAATCACCTGCAACACACAAACAAACACAATCCAGTAAGTGCACTGACAATCACAACACAGAGCCGAAAGAGAGTCTATCAAGCAAGCTTCTGTTTTCCCTAGTCCGTTCAATTAATGTTACATATAGAAAGCCAGTTATAACACACACACCAGTGCCAGTGACTGCTCGCATACTCTCATGGGCATATGAAGGAAGAGTGATCAATCAGCATCGGTTTTCTGTCCAATAGTGATCCAAAGACTCTTTTTCATCATCCCTAGGGACACTGTGTTGCAAATAACATTCCCCCAGCGACATCTTTAGATTAGACTGATGTGAAATGTGACTTAGGCAACACAATCAAACACTAGAAATCCAGCAATGCTGACATGCTCAAACTAAACACTGAGAAAGTTTTTAAAATATATAAACGTGCAGAACAATCTCCCCTTATTGTCTATGTGCATTAATTGTGTTTATATAAACAGAACAAAAAACTTAATGTTTAGAGGTTGCTCTTTTATAGCTGAGGAGACTGAAAGGAAGGGTAGGCCATTTGAGAGCAGCTAGCAATAGCAAGGTAGCTTTGAAACAAAAAACTTTTCCTTTTTTTTAAAGAAAATCTGTATTAATTCTATTTTATATATTCTTGTACAGCACTTTGGTTTCAACATCTGTTGATTTAAAATGTGCTTTATAAATCAATAAACTAAACTAAACTTTGAAAGCATGAGATCCCACCCTCCTTTCAGAGCGTCTCCAAAGCCACACCTCCTTCAAAACACATGAACGATCACAGCAGAGTCTGCAAAGCGTCACAGGGACGACGTTAAATTACCTCATGTCTCAAAGCACATACAGTAACACCACAATAATAATGAACATAAACAACTTACAGAGCTCTTACTTGTACCACCTGACTGACGCAGATTCATTTCAGCGTTGATAGTGTTTACACAGAAACAAAAATCGGGTAGAATGTTAAAGGTTTCCATCTCGTAATTACGGTTATGACATGGCGTGAACGCAGCATAAGCTCGTTGATTTGGTTCAGGAGGAACTGTAAAAGGTGTCTGCTGTTTGTTTGCGTGTGATGTAGTTGCGTGAACTACATATGCTGACAGGCAGGTATGACATCAGATCGAATGGAATAATTGGATGGACATTTTTTTTGTTCCTGAGTCATCCACAGATGATGTATGTATTTATTTTTATATTTAGACCAATTCTTTTATTGATTGCTAAAAGGATGTGAAGAGAGTTTTAACCAGAATAACAAAAAGTTTTTATATAAAAAAAAAAAACGTCCTACCCTACCTTTTAATAGAGTTGTCAGTCGACTCAATCACGAATTCAACCCTGTCATGCATTTTTCGCCCAAAATTCCTTAAAAAATAAATATAGAAATAAAAATATAAAAATAAATGGGCAGGTGACATAACATCATGTTTCAACATCATATTCAAAATTTTGAAAACATTTTATTTTCATTAGTTAACATCATTTAATGCATAATGCACAAACATTAACTAACAATGAGTAATTGTTTTATAAATCCTGCTAACGTTAGTTAAAAATACATATTCATTGTTCATTGCATTAAATAATATTAACAGATACAACTTGTGATTTTAATAATGTATTAGTACAAATTTGAATTAATATAAAATAAGATTACTAAATGCTGCAGCACTTGAACAATGTTTAACAAATGGAACCTTATTGTAAAGGGTTACCAGATTATATTAAATGCATTTTTATTCAATTATAAACTTTTTCAATATGTCTCAATTACATGATACAATTTTGAGAGAAATATAGCCTGAAAATACTAAACCGATACATATCTGTGGTTTAATTGATTTAATTTTGAAACAAACACCAAGCATCTGACCACCTTTTTCTGGTTACAGTCGAGGTAAATGTGGTTCTTCTGCTACACTTGCGTGTTTGCAAGTGATACAATGATAATCAAACATGCAAACAATTGCGTCAATGAGTTCTTGTTTTTGCTACATTGATTAATGCGTCCACTTCATGTTCTAAAAACAGCTTCCTTCTTTCACACGCACATTAACAGAGGCTGATGAGATAAATATAGTCCTGCGTGATGAGTCAATCAGAAGATACGGTTGCTCACAATCTGGAGTACACAGATGGCACAGGTTACATCCACTCAATCCAAACACCTGTTTGGCCAAATAAATCAACTCATAATTCAATAACAATCAGGCATTCTGGTTTGACTATCAGTCATTGTGACTCGCAAGATGTTTGACTCAAAAAATCTGTTATGTGTGTGTTCATAACTATTGATTATGCTTTGTAATGACTGTTTACATAAAGAACCTCAGCAAATCAAACTTATGATAATAATCAAGTACAAGAAATAATCAAGGAAAAGACATAATAAACTGAGCAGACTGAGTGTTTCGTAAACAGTCAGAACTGCTATTACAATTTCTCCTGCTTTAAGATTATGAAAAGGAAAAATCTTAGAAAAAATTTAGTTTAAAATGGCAAGTTCTTAAAAGTGCCTTTGTTTAATAAAAAATTAAACGTTTTATTATTTTGGCAGACACTTTTATCCAAAGCGAATTCCATTGCATTCAAGATATTCATATTATCAGTTCCTGCATTCCCCGAAAATTTAAACCCATGACCTTGGCGTTGCTTGTCACAGTCATGTCTTATTTAGTTTCATTGTCTTGTTCTGTTTAATTTGTAGTCATGGTTCACTTTGTTACTGTTTTGCCTGTGTTCTAGTTCATCATTAGTTGCGTGTTTCCTGTTCTGTTGATCATTCCCTCTGTGTATTTAAGCCTTCAGTTTTCTCATTTCTGGTTTCCACGTTAACATTTAACGTTAATATTTTATGTGTGTAGTGTTTTCACTCTCTCAGTTTATTAAATTTTATCATAATTTGTCATTCAGCATCACTCATCTCTCTTGTCATGCCTTACCCACTACTCCAACCACTCTCTATGTGTATTCTATAACACTGGCCTCGATGAAAATTCAAAGGCATGCCTGCCCGTAGATGGTCCTAGAAGAAGCTTCGCAGAGTATCTGCAGTGGGTGCTGGTGCTGGTGCAGTGTGACTCACATTTGACCTCACTGCTGAGGACATTGCCAGCCCCACTTCGGACCCAGAGCCCAGCCCACTGTCAGCCATGCCCGCAGTGGAACAGCCAGTGCCCATCACAGACTCAAAGCCGGAGCCCGCCACGAATCCAGAGCCTGAACGTTCACCAGAGGCTATTTTAGTCTCAGAGCCTGAGCCCACAGTGGAGTCTGGACAGGTGTGTGAGCCGGCAACAGCGTCTGTCACGGAGGGCATATTAGTGGAGTTCGAGGGGATGAATTGGAGCCCCACCGACACTACCCTGCCCGAGGTGTTAAACTAAGCTGGAGCTCGATGGAATTGGTGTTGGATGAATTGGATGAAGAGTAGTTTGCTGGTCTACAGTCTCTACTGGTCCCATCCAGTTCCAAGTTATCTTCATCTCTGCTGGTTAAGCCAGTTCCCAGTCATCTCAGTCTCGCTGGTTAAGCCCAGTTCCAAGTCGTCCCAGTCATCGCTTGTGGAGCCCAGTACCAAGTCATCTCAATCATCGCTGAAAACGCACAGTTCCAAGTCATCGCTGGTTGAACCCAGAACCAAGTCATCTCAGAGGAATTTGCTGCTCTACAGTCTCAACTGGTCCCATACAGTTCCAAGTCATCTCAGTCATCGCTGGTAACACCCAATTCCAAGTCCTCTTAGTCATCGCTGGTTAAGCCCAGTCCCAAGTCATTTTCATCTCTGCTGGTTAAGCCCAGTTCCGTGTCGTCCCAGTCATCGCTGGTAGAGCCCAGTACCAAGTCATCTCAATCATCGCTGAAAATCCACAGTTCCAATTCATCTCAGTCATCGCTGGTTAAAGTCCCTGTAAAGGCAATTCTTAAAAAATTCTAAACCCATTATAAATGTTAGAAATGTATTGCTAAAACATATTACAAAGACTGTGAACTGTGAATTACTGAATTGTGGAGTTAGACCGTTAAACAGTTTTTCACCATTGCTATTTTCTGGATTTTTTGGGCGGGGCTAAAACGGGGCTCGATGACACACTGGAGCCCCTGAGCGCCTGGACACGCCCCTACTTGATGACGCACTGAGGCCACTGAGACTGGCCCCTCCCCTAACAATAGAGCACATTCGCATCAGTTTGGCGCTCAATTGCGAGTTACTGTCAGTACTATTAGTTACTACAGCCTACAGTTTGCTAGGTAGCTATGCCTTCGACACGGAAATGCGTAGGCTACTACCTGGATGCGATCATGTACAAAACAGATCGGTGTCTTTATTTAAATTTCCTAAAAACGATCACATCAAGAAGAGGTGGATTCATTTTGTGAAGAGCCAATCTTGATGGAGAGCTGAGGATCACCGCCAACACCCGCCTCTGTAGTGATCATTTTACACGGGATAGTTTAATAAACTTTCGTCGGAGACAACTGGGATTCACTGATAATCCGCTGTTACTGGTGAATGGGGCCGAACTGACTATCTCCCGCCTCGACCTTCATCTCCCCGTCCCGAAAGCAGTATCACCTAATATCACCGTCGGCAGCTTTCCCGCAAGTGGGCGTGGTTTCAGCGCAGCCAGAGAACTGGGTTTGAGAGCAGAGAATACTGCTAATTTTTTCAAGATTTTGATAGCTTATTTTATGTACTTGCCGGCTTTTTTCATCATTCAAATTTGACTGGGTGGCTAATAACACATTTTTCTGTTGTGTGACAAACTCAGAACACATACTTAATTTTGACTTTACAGGGACTTTAAGAAAAGTTCCAAGTCGTCTCAGTCATTGCTGGATAAGCCCAAGTTTCAAGTCATCTCAGTCATCGTTGGTAAAGCCTAGTTCCAAGTCATCTTCATCTCTTCATCCCACCACGTCTTCGTCTCCCAGCACTAAATCTCTTTAGTCATTCAGTACAAAGTTGTCCCCCATTGCCTCTGCCCAGCTCCAAGTCCATCCAGCATCCCTCTCCCTCCTCCTCTGCCAAAGCCATCCAGTACCTGAGCCTAATCTCTGGGGTCTCCCTTCAGCCCCTCAGCAGTCTCTGCCTGAGGCTTCCCAGTCGCCTTTGCCAGTGGATCCCTCAGTTCCACCTCAAACCTTCAAACCCCAGGTTCCACATCGCCCCTCCGACTCATCGGCTCCATCTTGGCGCAACGATCCATCTGATCCACTATGGTATGTCATTCCTCAGGCTCCGCTGGACTCCCTCATCCCTCTGGCTCCACCTTGGTCCATCGTCAACTTCTGAGTCGTCAGCTGCTCCTCGTCCCTCTGGCTCCACCTTGGTCCATCGTCAACTTTTGAGTCGTCAGCTCCTCCTCAATCCTGCACCTGTCTGGCTCTGCCGGGCTCCTCCTTCCCTCCGATTCCGCCATTGTCCTCATTTCTACTATCTATGCCCTTGTCTGCCAAGACCACATCTCCACCTCGCCCACGCCCACCTTCGGCTTAGCCGTGGCCTTCCGGACTAGTGGTGTCGACCTGGGTGTTCGGGTCTTTGGCTCCTCCTGGGTCTCCATTTCCACCTGCTCCATCTCAGTCGGTCGTCTCCCTGGTTCTGCCTGGGCTCTCCAACAAGGCTCCACCATGGCATCTCCCTCCATCGGTTCCACTGTGGGCCATCATCAGGATTTGGCTCTGGGTCACCCTCTTGCTCCTCCTGTCTGCGCTTTGGCTCCTCCCATCATAATGTGACAGTCATGTCTTTTTTATTTCCATTGACTTGTTCTGTTTCATTTCTAGTCAGTTTTCTTTGTCACTGTTTTTTTTGCCTGTGTTCTAGTTCATATGGTTTCTGATTAGTTGCACACCTGTTTCTTGATTTGTTGATCATTCCCTCTGTGCATTTAAGCCTTCAGTTTTCTCAGTTATTGTTTATTTGTTAACGTTTAACATTGTGATGTGATGTGTAATACTATTGCTCTTTATTAAAAGACTTGTCCTTATCTTTTTCAAACATTGTGACAATGCAATAATTTTGTCGTGGATAGTTACACCACCTTGACATTTTTTAACCAACCAACCAAATAAATAAATGAATGTAAAACTTATTTTATTGATTGATTGATTGATTGGACACAAATGTCACACCACTTACCCGTAGGGACTCTAATTGCAACTAAATGTTTTAAATGATGACTGTCACAGTTGGTTTTGAGTTTTGTTCATGTTCTTGTTTTCAGATCTTTTGTTTTACAATGACATTTTACAAACACAATGGTCTAAAATAAAGGTCAAGGAACCATTTTGACCTTTACCAGACAAACACAGGAAAACTAAAATATATGCATAAAAAGACAGAGACACTTAGATATTTTATGTCAGACTGGTACAGAACAGTAACTGCATGAAATGGAAATCTCATGTGTATAAAGCAGGCTGTCTCTCACACCTCCCCCAGTCTCCCCCACCATGACTCACAACCCTCGTTTACTCTGGTTATCAGGGTTTCCCAAGTAACCGAGTCAAAACCACTTGTGTACTCTGCCGATAACCCCATGACTCACTGGTGACCACAACCAATTCATTACTAAGTTCAGAAAAAAAAGCAAAGATAACAACGCAGAACCCCTCGGTTCTTATCCAAAAGGGTGTCTGACTGCCACAGATTAAGGGACAGCTCATATAAAGAACTCTAGGGAAGAGTGTGTTGAATCTAGACAGGCACAAGATTATTTTTAAATAAACAGCTCACCCAGAAATTAGCATTTCTCTTATGTGAAAAAAAAAAAGAGATGTTTCAACAGAATGTTGACAGTGAATTGGCATAGGTGCTGTCAAGCTTCAAAAAGGACATTTTCAGGATACACATTCTCATTTTTGGGTGAAGTATTCCTTGTAACTGTAAATTGTAATGAACACAAATATGACTTGTATGTGTATGAGTGTGGGAGGTCTGTTCATTTACTCTAAATAACTCAACCTACTCATTACCTGTATTTAACTACACACTTGAAGACATTTGGCCACATCTCACCCTCCATTACTCAAGAATTGCAAACATTTCAGGGTGAGACAAACTAACATCACCAAATATGGGTAATAATAACAATCTGTCTCCCAGAAAACATTCAGTATGTTGATATCTCATTCAAATCAATGATCCAAGTTTATCAGAGCCGTATGTTTGTGCTTAAAGAGTTTAGCATTTTTTATTGCATCCACCTGATCAGTGTTTGGAGGGTGAAATCTCCACCAATCAGAGATTGAGTTTCATGCATATCAGAAAATCTGTGCGTGATGCTTTAACAAATCAGTAGGTCAGATCAACTCTAAACACTCATCTATTGCAAGAGGTAAATTACATTATTTGCATGATAAATCTACAAATCATATTAATATTCCACCACCTGTTCAATTGACCAATTATTATATTTATGGTTCAATTGAAAATGAAAGATCAGTTCAGGGCCGTAAACATCACATTCCTTTCTTGTATTAGCCCATCGGTTTCTGGGTTATCTACATTGTTAATAGATTTTGTTTTATAAAGACCTATAAAATAAAAAAGCATTTAATAAAACTGATAATGGTGGTCATGGATGCTGATTGGTCAATACAGTTTTCCAGTAGACATATTGACCAATCAGTCAACTTATAAAAAATACAATACAGAAACTGCTACGAGGTAAAACCCCTATTCAACAACTATTGTGTACAGAGACCATAAAGACTATTAACCTGATTTTCAAATTGATCACTTCATCAATTTTCTAAAATAATGTTTTAAAGAAACATTTGAAATATTTATACTTAATGTTATTATTATGCAGTAAGCAATAAATCGCTCGAAGCTAAATTCCCATAAGAAAAATTACACTTTAGCCTAGTTTTAAAAAGAGTATTTAAATAATAAAATTAAGGACGAACTGATTGTAATGTTTTCGGACACTTAATTGGATGTTAATTGCAATTGATTGAAAATGTATTATAGTTTAAATTTACATTAAATGCTTTACAGTTACTCTTCACCCTATTTAAGTACAATGATGTAAGGATTTAAGTACATCTTTATATGTAATTTCATACTTCTTTGTTTACTGACAAGCATTTCACAAAAAAAAAATACTAAAAATACTTTAATGTCATTTCTATTGAAACTTGTATTTGTAATTTGTAATGCAACATTTGTAATTTAGTACATTTAAAATATTAACTTTAAATGTAATATTGAATAACAGACTACAGTTAAATGTACAATCAAGTACTTTACGTGTTTTAGTATGTTAGTCAACACATCAAAAAAGTGTACTTATTTTAAGCAACATGAAACATGATTTAAAATGTACTTTAAAGTTCATCACTTTGTAAAAAGAAAATTCAGAAGAGAGAATAGAGAGGATTAAAAACAACCAATATGCTGCTCATCATCCCTGAAACTGATACAGGAGTTGAGTAATGTCAATTTTATTGTTGACGGCAGTGTGTTTTATTGTTCTCTGCCCTGTGTTTGGCCTCTGGCTGGTCTGAATCCAGCCCCCGTTTGGGCTCTTCAGCTCTTTGGTTCTGGTTCAGATCTTGATTTGGCCGGGTCTGTTGGCTGTTTTTCAGGGCTGACCCCGGCCTGATAAACCAGAGCTGAATCCAGGCCCAGAGCTGCCACAGACCCGCTGAAAGAGGCTAATGGAGAGATATTAACTGCTCCTCTGGGCACATATCCAACACTAAAAAAATACTCAACGGAAAAAAAAAACACACGCTGTGTATATAACTGTACAACACTGAATTTATGGTGAACTGTTGTTGACAAATTCCCTCATTCAACATTCTGCACTTCAAAATTATGGGTGAATTAAAGCACATCTAAGAAAAGAAAAAAACATGATAACTATTTTATTCCCGTAGAAAAAAAGTACCATGGTAAAGTGATGTGTATATATATTCTGTCTAAGTAGGCAACTAGTTAGGAGCACTCTGTCAGTGAGAGAGCCTGAGAGAGTGTAGACATATGTGAACATTTATCTACCTGTTGGACGTCCTGCTGGAAGACACAGAGCTGCAGTCTCTGATGCAGACGAACTTTACGGTGCTGCCAGATGTTCTCCAGACGTCTCTGGTGATGCAGGACCTCATGGACCACGTCCAGAATACAGTGCACGGCTTTAGAGTAGTTAGCTGTTGCAGTCAGAGACTCTGAGTTACCAGGACTCAACGGCCGCTGAAGAACGTCAAGCAAAGCCTTACCATCCTGACTCACCTGCAGATAGAGACGTGGTCAGTTTAAATGAAACTTTTATTCAGCATTAAATTGATAAAGAGTGACAGCAAAGACATTTATAATGTGACAAGGTATTTCTATTTTAAATAAATGCTGTTCTTTTGATCTTTCTAATCATCAAAGAATGCTGAAATGTTTTCAACATTAAAAATATATATATATTAGAATGATTTTTGAAGGATCATGTGACACTGTAATGTGACTGTAGTAATGATGCTGAAAATTCAGCTTTGATCACATGAATAAATTACAGTTTAAAATACATTCAAATAGAAAACAGTTGTAATAATGGTCACTGTATTTTTGTTCAAATAAAAGCAGCTTTGGTGAGCATAAGTGATTTCTTTCAAAAACATACAACTAAAAAAAAGAAAAAAAAAAGAGCCCAAACTTATCCAAAACCCCAAATCAGAGTTTCCGCTAGAAAAAACTGGTTTCGTTTTACGGACATTTTGATGATATGCCGGTCAAATATTGCCTCTTAATTAGTCAAGCTGAGGAAAACTGGAGACAGGCTAAGTAACTTAAAAAATGACATAATCAGGCCGTATAGAATGCAACATGTTATTATTAGCAGATCATTCATTTAGTTCGCTATTAAATAAGAGATCTAGTGCTAAAATCTGTTGTTTTTGAAATCAAGCTGAGCGCTCGTGTCCGCTGCTATCAGTTGCATGGACGACGCGCTGCGCGAGTTGCACAATCTTCACTCGGACGCGCGTTTCAATCTATCGCCGTTGCGGAGACTCTCTATTCATTCCGGTGAAATCACAAAATAAAATGCACACAAACGTGTCCCTGCTTGATATAGGCTGTAACCACTGATGAACATAGGCTATTATTCAGTTTTGATGAGAGAAAAAAAAAACTGTACGAGTGTGCGGATTAGAACCACTGATCTATATAATGAGATGTTCCTGATTCACCATCGTCCGTCGCGTCTGGCCTCTGAAAAAAGCTTTTAAGGCTAGCCTGCCTGGGCCTGGCCATATTTGAAACGTCTCACTCAATCGTTCGTTGTTTAGGTCTATATTACAGCCGTTTTAGGCGTGCGCTTTATTTGAAATGCAGCATGCAATGTTGTTTCATAACTTTCAAACGGTAGAGCCTGTTCCTTTATAACATAGCCAAAGGTCGGTGTATTTTTGCTTTATACATTTTGATTGTAGGCTTATTCTCAAATTCAGATTGTGTTAGGGGGGCGGGATTATTAGGCAATTTTAATCAGACAATTTGACCGGAGAGATTTAATTTTGTCGGACATTTAATTTTTTTCCCGGCCAGTGTCCGGTAATTACCGGACAACGGAAAGCCTGCCCCAAATGATAGTGTATTTGTCTGAAATGGCTTAAAACGACAATGTTTACAATAATTTTGACCAAACAGACATTGAAACAAATTCAATCAAAATGATGCAAGAAATACAGTAGAATAACCATGGCAAGTTTTCCACAAACTTTCCAGAATAATAACCAGAAATATAACTATTACAGCTGCTCATGTTCAGGGTTTGTGTTTAAACACTTATTACTTATAAGCATGTAACTCATCGGGCATTGTTCATTTGATCTAAATGAGGTAACGTCAGGTATCTGTGATAGAAACAGAGATCCTCCACTCGAGACCTAGACTATATTTGATTGTGTAAAACTACCCTTAGTGTTTTATTGTGTACCAAGGTCAATATGACTTGTTTCCATGTTTTAAACAAGATCTACAACAGAGCACATTCTCTAATGTCAGATCTTTAAACAGAGTCACAGGTAAACGTCTGAAGAGCTTGGAAACACAGGGATATATTTTCAGTCTGAGTATCAGGGGTGGAGATCTGTGAACTAAAGTAGCACAATAACATTGTGGCGTTGTTTCCTGTTGTGTCTTCAGATTAATTAGGGCCGGTTCACTAGTTTGTTCTAGTTCAAATAACATTAGTACAGCTGTGGGTTTATTATGTAACATAAGCATCCTCAATGGACAGTTTTAGACATGACCCACATCAACTGGTGAAGTTAACTTGGTTAAAAACCACATCTTGATCCTAGAGAACTAGTCAACCAAAGACTGAGCTTGAATATCATTTTTCAGTCAAAAATACAAGAAAAGGAAGTATCCTCAAAACTATGTTCCTTCTTAGAGAGAAATGGTATCTACAAGGATTTCCAATCAGGATTTAGACTGTATCAAAGTACTGAGACAGCTCTCATCAGAGTTACAAATTACTTGCTCTTATCATCCGATCATGATTGCATCTCTCTATTAGTGTTACTGGACCTTAATGCTGCTTAAACCTTTGACACTATCAAACCCCAACATTCTTTTGAATAGGTTCGGAAATTACATTTTGCATTAGTGGAACCGCATTGCCATGGTTCAATTTGTACTTATCTGACCATCATCAATTTGTAGTGAATGAAGAGGTTAATGAAAATCATTATGGGGAACCGCAAGGCTCAGTACTAGGACCGTTGCTTTTAATCCTATACATGCTACCCTTGGGAGATATTATTAGAAAACATGGTGTTAGTGTTCACTGTTATGCTGATGATACTCAGCTCGATATTTCTTTGCAGTCTGACGAAACGTCTCAGGTTACTACTGTAACCATAGTTCCCTGAGAAAGGGAACGAGACGATGCATCATCGACGCTTTGGGAACGCCCCCAGCGTGAATGCGTCTGAGCATCAATGTCAACTAGTCCAATGGAAAGAATGAGTGTCACCGGCGGGTGACGTCATGACCAGGAAGGCATAAGAGCACATCCGGTGAAACGCGGCATTAGCTTCAAAAAGTCGAAGCAAGCCGATCACAGGGATGCAGGAAGTATGGCAGGGTGACGCATCGTCTCGTTCCCTTTCTCAGGGAACTATGGTTACAGTAGTAACCTGAGACGTTCCCTTTCGAGGGAACTCGCGATGCGTCATCGACGCTTTGGGAACGAGAATACCCAAAACGCCAGAATTCCAAGTACCTGAGTGTCAGTCTGTTGGAACTAAGCACTAAGCACCTGAGAACCTGGGGCAGCATCCAGGTCCAAACTGTAAAACCTGACGAATGTGAGCGGTGAGGACCAGCCTGCCGCATCACAAACGTCTTGAAGAGAAACTCCAAAAAGTAAGGCTTTAGAGGCCGCCATACCCCTCGTAGAGTGAGCTCTGACCGCCAAAGGACACGGCTGGTCAGAGTACTCGTATGCAAGTGAAATAGCCTCAACTATCCACTTACTAACCGTCTGTTTAAAAGCAGGAAGACCCTTCTTAGGTGATCCAAAGCAAATAAATAACTGGTCGGACTTCCTCATTGAAGATGTCCGATGAACATAAGTATCCAGTGCTCGCACTGGACACAAGAGGTTCAGCCTTTCCTGGTCCGCAGATGTAAAAGGAGGACAGAAACCTGCAGCACAATAGGCCTCGGAATAATGGTAGGCACCTTTAGAACATATCCATGTTTCGGGTAAGATTGCCTTGGCCATCCCCGGTGCACTCAAGGCAGGTGGGGACCGAAAGGGCCTGAAGGTCTGACTCTAATAGGGACGAAATAGCTAGCAGAAAATAGTCTTAAAAGAAAGGAACTTCTCTGAGACCAAATCTAAGGGCTCGAAGGGAGCCCCAGATAGGCCTTCTAGAACTATTGCAAGGTCCCAAGCCAGCACCCTAGTGCAAGTTGCAGGCCTCAGCCTCAAAGTGCCACGAAGGAAACGAGTGATCAGGGGGTCTCGACCCAAAAATGTACTACCCACCAGGGCGTGGAGAGCCGCAATGGCCGCCACGTATACCTTAAGCGTGGAAGGACATAGACCTGATACAAAGCGTTCTTGCAGAAACTCGAATACTGTGTTTACTGAACAGTTAACCGGATCCCACTGACGCTGGTAACACCAAGAAGTGAAAAACTCTCGAAATAGTGAATATAGTTTCCTCGTAGCGGGAGCTCTGGAGATTAGAATGGTCTCAATAACCTCGGTTGAGAGACCACTCTCTATGAGTTGGGCCCCCTCAGAGGCCAAACCCACAGTTTCCAAATCCCCTGCCGGGGGTGCAATATTGCATCCTCTGCCTGAGACAGAAGGTCTCTCCTGATCGGGACCTCCAAGGGAGGTCCGTCGAGGAGAAAAATTAGGTCCGCAAACCAAATTCAGCTCGGCCAGGGTGGTGCTACTAAATAGGCTTATTCCATCCTGGCGGAATCACTCCAGAACTCCTGGGAGCAGAGCAACAGGGGGAAATGTGTACAGACGTAGCCTCAGCCACGTCTGCACCATAGCAACCAGCCCCGAGGGGACTGGTTGAGTGAGGGATAACCAGAGTGGACAGTGCGTCGTATGCTGAGACGAGAACAAATCCACTTCTGCCTGGCCATAAAACTCCCATATTTGCTCCACTGCCTCGGGGTGGAGTCCCCTGGCCTCAGCCCCTGCCTCGACAGGGTGTCTGCTCCAATATTCTGGCCCCCCTGGAATATACACTGCCCTCAGACAGCGTAATTTCCTGAGGGACCAAAATAATAGGCCACCAACGTGTTGTCTGTGGGTCAAGAACCAGAGTTTCCTCCATATAACCAAGGCGCGGGGATACTGCCGCGTGATCTTTATCGTACGGAGTGGGTTTCCCCTCAGGGAGAAC